ATATTTCTATTATGTGAAACCATTTGAGGAGTATAGGTATTAGCTCTTTTTTGAAGTTCTGGTAGAATTCTACACTAAAACTATCAGGCCCTGGGCTTTTTTTTGGGGGGGGGGGGGCTTTTGATAACAGCTTCTATTTCTTTTTAGGTTATATTTTGTAGGTTTTATTTGCTTACCTGGTCTTGATTTAATTTTGGTATGTGGTACCTATCTAGAAAATTGTTAAATTCTTTCACATTTTTCAATTTTGTGGAATACAGGTTTTCATAGAATGACCTAATGATTCTTTGGATTTCCTCAGTGTCTGTTGTTATGTCCCCTTTTCATTTCTGATTTTGTTAATTTGGATGTTCTCTCTCTGCCTATTGATTAGTTTGGATAAGGGTTTGTCTATCTTGTAGATTTTCTGAAAAAAAAAACAGCTCTTTGTATCATTGATTCTTTGTATTGCTCTTTGTTTCTATTGTATTGATTATATCCTGTCAGCTATTCCTTTTGGCCGAGTCTGTTTTTTTTTTTTTTTTTTTTTTTTGTTTGTTCTAGAGCTTTCAACTGTGCTGTTAAGTCCCTAATGTGAGATTTCTCCACCTTTTTAAATGTAGGCACTTAATTATATGAACTTTCTTTTTAGCGCTGCTGTCATAGTGTCGCATAGGTTTGGGTACATTGTCCCTTCATTTTTGTTGAATTCTAGGAAGTCTTTAGTTACTTTTTTTTTCTTCCTTGACCCAGGGATGATTTAATTGATCACTGTTCAATATCCATTAGTTCATAGGTTTTCTGCAATTAATTAGTTTTGTTGTTGAATTCTAACTTTAAACCATGGTGATACCATAAGATACAGGAGGTTACTCCAAATCTTTTGCATCTGTTCAGGTTTGCTTTGTTACTGAGAATGTGGTCAGTTTTGGAGAGGGTTCTATGAGATGCTCAGAAGAAGGTATATTTTTTTGTGTTTGGGTGAAATGTTCTGTAGATGTCTGTGAAGTATGTTTGAGTCATGACATCTGTTAGTTTTCTTATTTCTCTGATAAGTTTCTGTCTGGTTGACCTGTCTATCGGGAGTATGGAGTTATTATGTCTCCTACTATTAGCGTGTGGACTTTGATGTGCAAGTTAAGCTTTAGTAAAATTTCTTTTACATATGTGGGTGCTCTTGTATTTGGGTCATAGATGTTCAGGATTGAGACTTATCTTGAAGGATTTTTTCTGTGATTAATATGACGTGTCTTTCTCCATTTCTTCTGATTGATTTTAGTTAGAAGGATGGATCTTGCTTCCATATCCATTCTGTTAATCTGAGTCATTTTATAGGTGAATTGAGTCCATTGAGATTAAGAGATATTAATTACCAGTGATTGTTAATACCTGTTAATTTTTGGTGGTAGTGTTTATGTGTTTCCCTTCTTTTGGGATTACTAATGTGAGGTTATCTGTTGTCTGTGATTTTTGGGTGCAGTTAGCCTCATTGGGTTGGAGATTCCCTTCTAATACTTTCTGTGAGACTGGGTTTATGAATAGGTACTGTTTAAATTTATTTTTGTCATGGGATATCTTCTTCATCGATGGTGATTAAAAGCTTTGCTGCATGTAGTATTCTAGGCTGGACAATGTATGCCAGCATAGTTCCACAAGTTCCTCTTTGAATGCTGACAAAAGAGTGTTTATGTGCAGTAAACTCTACGTAGAGATGTTTGGGAAGTATTAGAGTATTTCTGTTTTTAGGCATTTTAGGAAGACTTTGTGCACTCATAATATGTATGTCTACCAAGCTAACTAACAGACTTCAGTGGTCACAAACTAAGATGAGAATACAAATGCACACATGATATCAAGACAATACATAAAACAAAAAGAAGCAAAACCGATGTTTCACATGAGAGAGACACCCAATATAATTATTATTTCACCATTGTGTATATCTGTGGAGATCAGAAGACACTGGGATCTATTGTGTGCTGGAAAGCTGCCACTCTATAATCCTAGCCAATCCAAACTAAATTTAGAAAGCTAAGCAAAAATCAAATATTCTTATCAGAGTAATTAAAAAATAAAGTTATGGAAATTAGTATGTGCCAGATTTTATTCTCAGCATCCACGTAATGTCAGATAGACAAAAGCAGAGTAAATATTGTCATTAGCAGAATTTAAAAAGAGTATCATCCACATGAATGAAAAGATGCTGGATTATAGCACAAATCCACAGGAGAAATAAGGATCAATAGTCAAGATTATTCTATGAGTAAATGTAGAAGATAGTTTAAATTTATTTCTTCTTTGGCATCTTGTTTTACTCAGATTTTCAAATTAAATACAAAGTGTGAGAGTTAAATATCCATATGAAATAAGCATAAAGGTATAATGAAAAAATTTGTGATGGAGTAATAGTAAGGTAAAATGTGTATACAGTTGATAATAAGTTAGCATTATCTAGATTATATCATTATAAACTTTAGTGCCCAAGAAAATCACTAAGAAAATAGCTCAAAATGCAATGCTTAAAAGTTTAATTTTTTTCTCTGTTTCTTTTAACAATATAGATGTCCATAAACTCTAACATTCATTCTTTTTTCAGGCTGAATGTCTAAGATGAGGTGGATCGATTCGCTTAGCTTCTAATGAGAGCCTAATAGCTGATGACATCAGAATGGTTAGGAGTGCTTCCTGAAAATAATCGATAGTGAGATAGAATTCCAGGGCTATTCAAGGACAAGCCTTGAACATTCTCTCTCTCTCCCTTCTGCTCTCTCCCTGCCTGGTTCTTGTTCTCCCTCTCTTCCCTCCTACTTCTCTTACTTTCTACTTTTGTTTCCTCACTCTCTTTTTCCTTATTGCTGGTCTCAATTAGAATCTCATGTTACCTTAATATACATTACCTTAATATATTTTGTGAATGAAACACTAGAGGATATAAAGCGAAAACTATTGAAAAGTATAAAAAATCAGCTGTTTTTAAAAAGATACAAAATTCATTAAGTTTTAGGTAGACTGATAACAACTAAAAGGGAAATGTCTCAGATCTAAAAGAGGTGTGTCTGGAAATGTTCCTTCTGTTTCTGTTGCGTGGAACAATTTGAGGAGTATTGGTATTAGTTCTCCTTTGAAAATCTTGTACCATCTGTTTCTGGGCTTTTTTTTTTCTTTTGGTTGGGAGACGTTTGATGACTATTTTTATTTCTTCAGCTGTTATAGGTCTGTTTAATTTACTTATCTGGTTTTGATTTAATTTTGGTAAGTGATATTCATCCAGAAAGTTGTCCTGTACACAAATGATAAAAGGGCTGAGAAAGAAATCAGAGAAATAACACCCTTCATAATAGCCACAAATAGCATAAAATATATTGGAGTAACTCTAACCAAACAAGTGGGAGGCTTCTATGACAAGAACTTTAAATCGTTGAAGAAAGAAATTGAACAAGGCACCAGAAAGTGAAAAGATCTCCCATGCTCTTGGGTAGGCAGAATTAACATAGTAAAAATGGCAATCTTACCAAAAGCAATCTACAGATTCAAAGCAATACCCATCAAGGTCCCAGCAAAATTCTTCACAGACCTCAAAAGAACGATACTCAACTTTATATGGAAAAGCAAAAAAAAACCTAGGGTAGCCAAAACAATCCTGTACACCAAAAGAACTTCTGGAGGCATCACAATCCCTGACTTCAAACTCTACCACAGAGCTACAATCTTTCTTTCAAATGACTTTAACTCGTATCATATTGATATAAACCCATCTAGCGTAGCTTCTTACTTCCCTTTTTGGTGCTGTTAATCAGAATGATGGCCTCACCCAAGCTGTGTGACCTCAGTATTCCTTAACAACATCCTCACGCCATTAGTTTTCTTTTTCTTTTGTGTATCCCCCCTGTTTGCAATCCAGCTTTTGATGGACCTTAATTTGATTGTAGTCTATTGATTGCTGGTGCTGCAACTTCCTGCCTGACACCACCTTTTTTTTTTTCTCATAAATGTGAGTTGTTTGCCCTCTGTGAAAAGCTATAGCAGAAATTATTTATTTTTGGTGGGGGGAGCCAAAATGTATGAAGTATCCATTCATTTAAAAGTTTAAAACATCTCATTTATGGATATGGTATTTACATCATTTATCTTTCTTTTTTACCTTTTACAATCCTCCTGTGTCCTCCACTTGCTCTGAAATTCGTGGATTCTTATTTAAACATTGTTACATACACACAGAGAAAGACAGACAGACAACTAAGAAAGAGAGCTTTATTGAGTCCATTTAGTGCTGTTTATATGTGTACATGATTAGGACTGACCATTTCCTTTGGGTTGGCTCTCAGATTTTCCCTGGAGAAGAGTGATTTTGCCTCTTTCTGCAGCAATCAATTTTGTGTATTTTTTTTTTCATCTTGGAACAGGGATTTGTGGTTCTTTTCAAATGGAGACTTCTATTTTACAAGTTCTGCTCTTAGCAGTTTGTTTTATTTCTGACATAATTGAGGTGATGTTACAAAAGAGCTCATACCTCTCCCAAACCAGAGATAATTCTGAAATACTTATATTGAAACAGTGTTAACCACTTGTCGATCATAATCCCTCTGTAATTAGTGAACAGCTTTGCCCAAGTGCTTGCATGATTCATTTAAATAATACAAATCAATATCATTATGTGGGATTGTCGATGAGTTTTTAAGTCAATGCTGATGAGTAACAGGTCTCTCTAAAGTGCCTGTGCTTTGTCGTAATTCACAGTGCCACGCTACCGTCGGTATTGTTTTTGAAATATCAAATGTACTGATAGGAAATGGAATCTGTATAGAAGAAAGTGAAAAATGAAGGGTCTGTTTGGTGTCTCTACTTCCAGAAGTATTCTCATACTCTCATGCTAAATACAGCCATATAGCACTGTTCTCTAATACTCTGTAGTGGATACAAACGACAATGAAAGTAGCTTTTCAATGAAAGAAAAGAATGACTTAGGGATCCTCTCTTTTCGCACCACTGATTGTGCCTCTGGTTCCTGTCTTCTTTTACAGGAGTGACAACTGTCCTAACAATGACAACACTGAGCATCAGCGCTCGAAATTCTCTCCCCAAAGTGGCTTATGCTACTGCCATGGACTGGTTTATCGCTGTTTGTTACGCTTTTGTGTTTTCTGCCCTAATTGAATTTGCAACTGTTAATTACTTCACCAAAAGAGGATGGGCTTGGGATGGGAAGAGTGTAGTAAATGACAAGGTAAGTGTCTGCTCGCTTCCCATTCAAGCTTGTTGCAGAATTCTTTCTAAAATTTGATATTAAGAAATTCAGTATTAGTTTTCAAAAATTTGTTCTTCCTTGAAATTCTTTAAGGGTGCTTGTAGTGACACTTCTTCAAGGCACTCCTCAGTGTCTGTGGAGTTGTTGCATGTTCACACGTGCTCTCTCTCTCTCTCTCTCTCTCTCTCTCTCTCTCTCTCTCTCTCTCTCTCTCTTTTTCTGCACTAAGTAAGGGTTCTTTTTAATTCTAATATTTCCTAGTAAAATATTTCAAGCTATTTATAACTGTGTATTCGCTCCAGCTCGTACAACTGACCAGTCAGTGTACTGGAACCCTGGTTTGTCTGTCCATAGAGTTTATGCCTTTATCCACCACAATGCATTAGGACAGAACTTGGAAAGGAAAAGTAGCACTTGTTTCACCTACGGAAGAATTTGATTCTGACGATGGGTCAATGATTATTTATGCATCCATGCTTTTATCACCCCGTTGTAATAGTGAAGGTAGCACTTTATTTTTATCATATCATAAGTAGTAAATATGTGGATACAGAAATACCCCAGCATTGTCAAATTTCTCATGGGATCTAATTATGTACACTTACTATTTACATTTAAGGTTATCGATACATAAATTTTCATGTTTCAAGTATTGAGGCTAATGGGATATTTGTGTACAGATGTATCAGTGCTTTCCTTTCTAATTGCCTAAGTTGGTTTCTGCTCTAGGATAGGACTTTGTACGTATTCTAATGTGCTATTAATATTTTTATTAGTGGTAGAAACTTCTATTTGGACAGTTTCTTTGAACACTAGATTGTATGATTTTTTATATAATTTGAGAACGTTTGTTGTGATTTGATTATTGGTTTAGTTATTTGAATATATGTATATATATATACATATTTGCATATTTATTTTCTATACCATGTTACAGTTTATTGAAACAAATTTTGAATGTTACAGTTTTCACACTTGTTCTTTGTTCTCATTTATAAGCTATAGAAATTCTAATTACAGTTGCTAGTTTATTTGTAAGTTGTATTTGTGCACTAGCAGAAGTAGTGATTTTATATTGAAAAGGACTTAATCAATTTTCTATGCTTAACTTCTGGTTGATTCTAGCGTTTCCATTACATTTTATTGTTGATTTGTGTTGTTTTACTTCTCATACAGTGAATTGCTTTTCATTTTATCTGTGTGATTATTTCTCTTTAACTATGTTGGTTATACATACACTTTCTCCATAGATGCTGAAGTAGGATGGTGCACCACAAGCTGTTTTAAAGATGTTGTTGAGTAATTTTTATTATAAATATGGTAATACACCAATAAGAGAACCTATTGGTCTTAACTGAAAAGTATTACAAACGTTACGATGGAGGCTTCCATCTGTACTCTACTCAGCTATATTATTAAAATGAAGTTGGAGCTATAGTCCTGTAAGTTACTTTGAAAATAAGTAGGTGTTTAGAGTGGAAAGAAAACCAAGTAAAGTGCCAAGAGGTGACGTGATTAGCTGCCCAAATTTTAGGTGAAAAATGACAGTTTTTTTTTGATACACGGAATTTTTTGTTCTTTTACAGTCAGTTGTCTCCAGGTTGTCCTTTGCTTTGGTCCTGTATAAATATAAGTAAATATGGTCATATTGTCAGTCAATATAAGGAACATCTGGATCCCATTCATTGTTTTATCAAAAGCAGAGTATTCACTTGACACATAAAAAAATACTTAGAAATATATATCCATTCTGTGTGTTGTAAAACAAAAAAAAATATGTACTTTTATCTGCCTAGAGTCTAGATTTTACATAAAATATTGTGAACAAATGATATTTAAGACTTCTTTTAAAAAAGCATTTAAAAAGTCATACATTTATGCATCAGCTTCTTTTGAGTCCTTGGAAGCTGATGGACCTTTATACCGTGTTAGCCTCAGTTATGACATAAGTGAAGAAAATCTCATTGTAAAAGTGTACAAATTCTGTACAAACTCTGAATCAAAGAGTCAAATTCTAAAAGGACATACCAGTGTCTGTTTATAGAGCCCCCAAGTACTTAAAAAATACCTTTGCCATTTTGCTGCCTCATTCCTATTTTCCTGTGAGGAGATTTTGTTAACTTGCCATAAAAGCAAATGGGTACGTCCCCCACCTTCCATCATCACTCTGTCCACCCCCTCCCCAGATTCAGCTGTCCGTTCACCACGCAGGCTCTGTGAAATGAGTTCTCCCCTGTCGCTTTCTTTTCCATCAGCTCTTAGTCCTCTGTGCCCTGGAACTCTTTCCTTCACTGTCCCATAATTGGCTCTCCCTAATCTAATAACATGTGAGTTTTTCCACCTCCCCTTGGGATCATCACTGAGCCTTTTGCTTCTATGCTGAGGACACTGTCTTGGGTCCAACTCGGTAACATTTTCTCTTTTCATTAAGAAACGCTTCAGTAACGTCAGCATCCTTTGCTCACACCCTGGCAGCTGCCACACGTTATTCCACACTGTGAAGTCCTTTGCCACAGTAAATATATTGAGCTTCTCTTGAATGCTCATGTTCCCCAGAGAAAGCCAAGTCAGCCTTCTTTGATGCTTTTTTTGTGTGTCTTGTTGTTTACAATGTGGTTCTCAAATTCAAGGTTGTATTGGTAACTCTATACTAAATGCATTATCAGTCCATTTGCTGTCATAAATCATATAATCCTTGCTTAATATTTATGTAAATTTCAGTTTTTGATGTTATTTCTGAGTACTTCTTTCCAACATTTTTGGGTCCCATGAAAAGTTTAAGTATATGTGCTTTCTTGATTTTTTTTTTGAAAAACTTTATCATTTTCTGTTAATGAATATTTGGACTTTAAGTCACTAATCATCATAATGTTGGAATAGCTATTTTAATAAATCATTTATCTATAGTCAGTTGCCTAGTATCTTACATATTGTACATATTCTGTAAATATGGGATGAATTATTGAAGTATTACCAATTCAGAGATCTATAACCAATACTCTCGTTTACAGTTTAACATCTCATCTGTATTATAAACTGCATCTTTCATCTCCCAGCATATATGTACATATATATACTATATATGTAAGTCCATAAAATATATATGTCCATCATGTTCATATATCCACTATATGTGTGTGTGAATCACTCACACACACACCCATCTTATTGCCTAGTTGTTTTCCCCTGATTCTAATATGGCAAACTTTGAGAACTGCCTATGCATAAATTTTTCCAGTCATTTACAAAATTTGTGATAAAATGTCAAGCACTAAGACTGGAGAGAGGGCTCAGCAGTTAAGAACATTGACTCCTCTTCCAGAGATGTGGATTCCCAGCACCCAAAGGTTGGCTGACAACAATCAATACCTGTCTATAAAATTGTTATGACGAGGCAATAATGTAATCATTAATAAGCATGGATATTGGCAGCCTCTACCCATGCCCACACACCACAGGGGTAAAAAGCAAATCCAAAAAAAGAACCTCCAAGCCAAACAAAACAAAACAAAAACAAAAAATTAAACAAAAAACACACATAAATTACTTCTTCATCTTTTCAATGTTTATGTCTAGGTACTTATCAGGAATTGATACCCCAGTCAGGGGCATGGCATAATGTCACATTACAACAAATGAGACTTTTTCAGTACCTGCACTAATTCATGCTCATTATCCTTCTTACAAACTTAATGAGGTATCTCACTATTATTTTACAGATTATTTGCTGTTTCCTACCTTTAATAAAGTTTTTTCTCTAATGTACATTGTTATCTTAAAGTTATCTGAAACATAATACACATCATTTAACTTGTCAGCTCTATAATGAATTCCCTAGGATAGTGATTCGGGGTTAATGTTGCGCAAATATGTGGTTTCCTTGCGTGTTTACTTATGTGATGAATGACAGATAGAATTTTCTCTGAGTACTATGCATTTATTTGTACAAGCCTGTAAATGTTTTTAGTTTAAGGCTGAAAATTATTTTAGTAAAATTACTTGGTTAGGGACACACATTTCACAAATGTTGACTCTGAAATACAAGCTATCTAAGCTTAGTGCTCATATTCCAACTTAACCTGTTACCAATGACAATCATTTCCCCCCAAATCTCATTTGTCTTCATGTTTTTACTATTTAACATGCTGGTTCTTCTTCATGTCATATCCTCTTTCCTTCTTTGACTTAACCTCAAATTTTGTAAACTTACATAAATAAATTGAATCCCTCTGTTTTCCCAGAGCATGAGGCACTAATTTCTTTTTATCACTATTTTAGAAAACTTGAGAGAATTAAGTTTTGTCTTATTAGCTATTGTATCTTGTGTCACCTAGCAGGCTGTCAAGCATTACCTGACCTTAGCTCTCATTTCAAGCATTGTTAGCTTTAATTCAATTCCCTGACATTTTCACTTATAAATCTGAGACAGTAAGCTCAAATTGGACAATAAAAGCATAGAATACACAAGATAATAAATCACATAAAATATAGATATAACAGTGTAGTACCCAAACTTATGGAATGGTCCATTGTCTTATGATCCACTCTATTAATTTGTAGATAACACCACATTTTAAAGTGTACTTAACCATTTATTTTCATTTGTAAATTTAAATTTGTATCTTATTTTGTGTATGGGTGTTTTGCCTACATTTATGTCTATGTGCCAGCAGTGCCTTGTGCCCATGGAGGCCAGAAGAGGGCATGAGATCTCCAAGAATTGGAGTTACAGATGGTTGTGAGCTGCAACGTGGGTGCTGGGAATCCAACCCACATTTTCTGAAAGAGTAGCCAGTGCTCTTAATTGCTGAGTCATCTCTCCAGCCCCTTCTTTGCATTTTTGAAATTTGCTTATTCCAAAATAATTTAGGTAATGTATTAAAGATCTATGTAATCAAATTATAACTATATTAAAATATATAGTAAAAGTAGGAAATGAGAATAGAAGAAAAATAGGTTCAAGTATCCTCTTTTAGCCGGCTCACTGACAGTTCACAGTTGTAGTAATTATAGTTCACATTCTAAGGTTTTTACTCAGAAACTTTGTAGAGATGTTTGGGGAATTATGCTTTTAATCAAAAAAGAGGAAAAATACTATATACATTAATATATTAAACACAAACAATTTTGAATCTTATAAAAATAATTTTGACTTCTTAATTTTAATAATATTTTTATTATTTGAAAGCTCCATGCATGTAAATTGATCTTATCCATTATATACTATAATAAAATAATAGTATTTTATTTTCAATGTCTATTTATCATATATACGTTATGCCTACCCCCATGAAAGCTATTAATGTAAACATTCATGTCATGTATCCTTATGCTGAAGTTACAAAACTCAACAAGACAGAGATACCATCAACCCTCATTGAATTTAGATTTTAATGAGAACATAAAATGTCAAATATTCACATGGTAAAGGAAGTCCTTATATACTTTAATAAGTGTTATGATAGACCCAAATTTAAGTACCCTGAGACTGAATATGTGAGGGACAAAGATTGTTTTAGGCTTAGTGTAAAGGCATGGCATTCCATGGAAATTACATTCAAATTCAGGGTAAAATACAAAAGGAAATTAGTCATGTGAAAAATTTGGTGAATAGAAAGAAATCTAAGATGGGATACCCCAAGATATCCTAACAAAAAAACTGTAGAACACCAAAGTTATTCCGCACGGGTTTGTATGTAGTGAAAATAAGAAGGACTGGTTTTAAAAGTGCTGTTTGTATTCTTTGGTCCTTGAACTTCTGTTGGAGAGATTTAAGAATAGGAATATTGTGATGTAATTTGTTTCCAGTGGTTCTCCTATATCTATAGTGGCTAAAGACTTAGCAGGGTTTGGCCAATACAGAAGAACACGAAGAGAGATTGTTTGAAGCAAGTGATAGCAGCTGCGACAAGAGCAACTGATACCCACGCTGGAGATCCTTCGATGATAAAACAGAAAGGGAAGGGGAGCTGAAGAGATAGAATTGATATCTTCTTATTGCAGTAGTGTTTTGTAGATTTCTATCCGCAGAGAGTTACAGTTGTTTGCAATCTTAAAGCATGGCCTTACAAGTTTGCCATAATGTGGGTGGGAGTTCTGCTACCTAGAAAAATTTGAGATCATTCATTCATTGTTGATGATTATCACTCTTCTTTAAAATCCTTACATATTATGTAATTCTTCACTAAATAATTTAAAACGTATATGTGAGTGACTTTTAAGAGTAAAAATATTAAAATTTTATAATTTTTTAATAAAAATTGTATTTTCTATCATTCAATTACAATGTAAACATCAAAAATTTGTTCTCTGGGAAAATGGTGTCTGTATTATACTCTATGAGATTTCTCACTTAATGTTTTTTAGGACTTTGTTTTACTTACTTTCCCTAATTTCTTTTATCTGCAAACAAGGATGTATATTTGAGTAACTTTTCTTTTTTTCTAGAATTTAAACTGCAGTTGGGAAATTATTAAGAATCATACTAAACCCACACTTTATTACTTTTTGTATTTCCCAATAGAAAAAAGAGAAAAGTTCCGTCATGATACAGAACAATGCCTATGCGGTGGCTGTTGCCAACTACGCCCCAAATCTTTCCAAAGATCCTGTTCTCTCCACCATCTCTAAAAGTGCAACGACGCCAGAACCCAATAAGAAGCCAGAAAACAAGCCGGCTGAAGCCAAGAAAACCTTCAACAGTGTCAGCAAAATTGACAGAATGTCTAGAATAGTTTTTCCAGTTCTGTTTGGTACATTTAACTTAGTTTATTGGGCTACCTACTTAAACAGGGAGCCTGTATTAGGGGTCAGTCCATGAGTCTAGACATTGGTTACTTTTGGGCTATAGCAACATTACACTTGATTTATTTTGCTATGTACAGTCTAACTAATAACTGCTAATTTATGTCCCAATATGTACAGTATGTATATAGTGGTAGAGCTTATCAGTAGACCTCCTAAGGGGACCTGCATTTGCTAACTCATGGAAATACAGGCAGAAAACATCCCTTGCCAAAAGAACTGTTGCCTTTTAAAAGCGATTTACCTTGGGATTTAGTTTAAAGGGGATTTCAGGTTATGCAATTTATTTTCTAATGTTCTAATTATGATAAAAGTTGAGATACAGTGTCACCCTTTGTGAAACCTTTGAAATAGATATTACATAGGAAAAATCTCCTGTTACCTATTGATGATCAGAGATTAACATTGGCACCCACATGTGAGTTCTGCTGACTATCTGAACATCTGCACCTCTGATCTGTTCCCTTCGGGAGTATTCAGAACCCCTGCTAGTGTAATGGAAGCTTGACACACATCAGGAGAAAGCTAGAGATGCGAAAGCAGTAAGCTTTTCCTTACTATGTAGACTATCTATAGCCATGTGCATATTACAAGCATGACGAACTCACGTAACTATGAGTCACAATGACAGGATGTTGATTATGCTGAAATTTAATAATTAATGGAATGTCACGGCCGTCACATTTTTATCTTCTGAGTTTATTTGAACATAGTAACTGAAACCTAAGGCGCACTACACTCGTAGATAACTACCTAACATGATAAAAAAAGAAGATATGTGGACTTAGTCTTTTCAGGTATGTGTTGTCAGCTAATTTTTTCTGGTGCTGGAGAGTGGGAGAAGGCAGCCATCTTGGCGGCGATGGAGCAAAGTTCCTTCATCTCAGATTAGAAAGTTGTGCCAAAAACTCCAAGCGATGAGAATTCATAGGTGTCCCAGGTCCAGATGCGCACTTATATGATTCTCTGCTTTCCTGTTTACTGCAAATTCTGCCTTAAGGCTTCTTCTCACTGGGACTCAGAAGCCACTAATCATAAAGGAAAGGGCAGTTCGTTGGCACATTTTTCTGTCTGGAAAGCAGCTCTTTCGGATAAGAATTAATATAAATCTGCTTTTGTAAATTGCAACTTTAAATTTCATTGACTCGAATTTACAGCAGCTTTGTATACCAGAAGAGGTTTTGGTAAGAGTTGAACATTTTTAAATCACAACTTTAAAACATCATCAACAAATTATGGATTGTGTCACACCACACACACACACACTAACACACACCACATAGCTAAATTAGAAAATAAAAACATGATTTTCAATTTTATATAACTACTGATTGTTAATGGGTAAAATTTATTTTTCTTTTAGTATATAAAGGTATTTATTTATGCCCCTAAAATATGCTAAAGTTAAATTGTTTCTGTCAAAACCAAATTACCTTTGACTGATATGTACATTAGCAGTTATTAGTTGACTTTGAAAATTAAGCGCAACTTCATGATGATGTTTTTGTAGAAACCTAAGTAGTCAAATAGTGGCATTTCTTGCAATTTTGTACAGTATTTGAGTATAGTGCCAAACAGGTCTGTTCACAAAATCAATAAAAGGGGCATCTTCTGGAAATAAGCAAACTCAAAAAAATCTGCTGTTCTTTTGCTTCTTTCAAATTTTTGATTTTCTTTTCTAGTGCAGTTCTGTTACGTGGTTTGCATGATTGTATTAATACTAGGGCCACAGCTGCATCTTAGTAACAAGACTCGCTACAAAGACAGCCATGACGATAAAAACTTCCTCACGCAAAGTAATTCATTAACCTTAATAAAATTATTACATGAGCCAATAAATGTATTTTGTTAATTCCCTTCTAGTTACATCTTCTCTATCATCTAAATAATTTTAAAATGTGACTATCATCCATCCAATGAAATAAAAGATACCCTCTTTTCTTAAATACCTATATGCTGAAACATCTCTTGTGGAAAACATAGGGATTGTTGTAGCTGTGTGTGACAGAATGTGTTATTTGAAGAAAGTTGCAAGATTCGTTTTGTAGTGTGTGTTACCAGTACTTTAAGAACAGTTTCTGGTGGCTGTGGAGAGCTTGCAGGTTAAGAGTAAAGACTTCCCTTGCAGAAACTTGACTTCAGTTCCCAGCACCCACACTGTGACTCTAGCTCCAGGAGGTCTGATACTCTATGCAAGAAGCCATGGGAACCCTCAGATATATGTACACATACCCCACCCCACATAATTAAAAAAGGAAAATGAAGAGTTGAAATTCCTGCCATGTCCCTTTACTCTCTGATTATAAGTTCTATATTATTATTATTATAAATATGTACATATGTAAAACTAGATCTAAATAATTTTCCACAGGTAATCAGAAAAGATCCTTCTGCTGTGGGATGACCTGTAATCATTACTTGAGAGAATGAGTAAGCACCTTGTCCTGCTCTGCTCAGTCATGAAGCCACAGCAGTTACAAAGGACTTATCCTGTGTGCTTGTGTAAAATTCAGACCCCCCGCCCGTCACAAATCTTTGAAATAGAATCATCTGTGATGTAACTGATACTAAATGTGTGATATGTGTGATTACATTTTCAACATCCCCATGCAGCTATATCGTCTTGAAACAATTATTAGATTTACTTTCATTTGAAATGATTCAAAGTTTCAAGTGAATCTTGAGAGAAACGGTTGCTTACCCAACATACTATTTATTTTCATTTCTTTTAAGTCTCATTAATTCTTTTTCCATTTCCTTTTAATGCCCTAAAGATTTCACTTGTTTAAAGTCAGTAAACTGTATTTTATTGAGACATTTCATAACACGGTCTGGTGTAATGCTGGTGTCTCACACAAGCGGAATAGATCTATTTGCAATAGCTAAGAACAATACAATAGGTACGGGGTTTGGATACTAATTTATACATAGAAACCACCCCACCTGAAATTTAAAGTGTAAAGACTATAATAGAGTATTAAAATGGGCAAAGTCACTTTTAGCATATGTATGTTTAGAGCCACGAATACTGTACAGAAGCCACTTACAATCATGTGGACCAGACAAATTACTAAATATTTCTCTAATGAGATATTTCTCTATTGAATTTATGCTTTAAAATGAAAGTAAGTGCGAATTAAAATTACTATTAGCTTTTATATTGAGTTTATTAATGTTTTTTTTCAGGTTTCAACAGCTCATATTTTTAGCAAATCTAAAAAGCAAAGTGAGAAATACATATCACAGGGAAAACTGAGGATGTTACTAAAGGACATAAGTGAAATATTTCTCCAGTTTAACTCTTAAGAAAGTGAACAGTTTATACACATACACAGGGAGAGACAAAGAAAGAGGAAGAGAAAAGTATATGTACTTATGTATACAGAGAAATATTTAAATGTTATGAATCTATCATTATATGTATGATGACTAAATATTAAAATTTATAAAGTTCCAATAAGAGGTCTTTGGGCAGAAAAAAATAGAATGTTAATAGTGTATCTTTACAATCTAAAAACTCTTAAATCTCAGCACATAATTAGACACTATACAATACATCATCATTAATTGAAATATTCTATTTACTCAGTTATGCAGAGAACATTTTATATAGGTCATTTTTGCTCAATTTCAAAGAAAAATATTTTAAATTTAATTAATAATATCATTAAATATTATCAGAAAGTAATACTTAGCAAGGTTACATTGTGTTTAGCTCTCTGAGTCTGTGGCATGGTATAAGTATTAGCGGTGGGGCTGTGTAGTGTTCTGGATATATATGAGCGCATATTTGGAAAAATTCCAGTGACTTTATAAAATCTGAAACATTTATTTTTTATATATGTAGCACCACATTTAGCTCCTAACAAATTAGCATTTAATTTAGCAGAATAACTTTTCCCATAGAGGCAGCAAAATGTAAAAGTTTGAATTGAGCTTGATTTATAGACTACAACACCCTTTCTTTGTAAGTATAAATATGTTCCCACAGCACTTCTATTTGGTTCCTTTGATTCTTTTTTTTAACTTTTTAAAAAAAATTATTTGTTTTACATCCCAACCTCAGTTTCCCCTCTTTCCTGTCCTTTGATGTCCTCCTCCCCCTTAATCCACTCCTCTTCTGTTTTTATTCAGAATGCGGTAGGCCTCCCATGGGTATCAGCAAAGCATGACATATTAAGTCGCAGTAAGACAAGTCACATAACCCCTTATTAAGGCTGGACAAGCAATCCATATGAGGAATAATTTACCCAAGAGTCAACCAAAGCATCTGGGACGCCTCTACTGCCATAGTTAGGAGTCCCACAAGGAGACCAAGCTACACAACTTCCACATACATGTATAGGGCCTAGGTTGGCCCCATGCAGACTCCCTAGTTTTTGGTTCAGATTCTGTGAGTTCCCATGAGCCAAGTTAGTTTTTTTTTTTTTTTTCTGTGACTTTCATGTAATGTCCTTGACCACTCTGTCTCTTACAATGCTTCTTACCTTCAGTGGCATTCCCTGAGCTTTGCCAATTGTTTTACTGTGGGTCTCTGTTTCCATCAGCTACTGGATGAAGGCTCTCTGATTACTATGTGATAGTCATAAATTTGATTGCATGATTTACAGTTCAGGCTACTTATCCACTACAGCTAGGAGTCTTAGCTGAGGTCATCCTTCTAGATTCCAGGGTGTTTCCCTTGCACCAGGTTTCCACCTGATTCCAAAATGTCACCCTTTCCACTCATCTCTTTTACTACTCTCCCTCTCCATCCACCATGAACTTGATCTCTCAAGTTCCCAATGTCCACCCTTCCCAAGTCCAGGCAAGAGATGCCTGGTATCCCTTTCTCGGGAGATTTATGCATCCTGTCCTCGAGTCCCATGCCCTCCTTGTTACCTATCCCCTCTGGGTCATTGAATTTTAGTATGGTTGTCATTTACATTACATCTAATATCCATTTATGAATGAGTATATATCATGCTTGTCTTTCTGGGTCTGGGTTACCTTACATGGGATGATTTTTTTCTAGTTCTATCTGATTTTGTAAGATGGAAAAATATCTGAATTCCAAGTTTCCCAGTGGAAATTTCTAAAATATCTATTAAAAATAAAATTTTCTAGAAATATTCCATAAATCTTAGAATGTTATAAATATTATGTTCTCCTTCATATTAAAAGTTAAATATCTGAAGGATCACAAATAACAAATGATTTTTAGTGATTGATTAATTTCACAGCTTTTTAGGATGAATTATTTTTAATGCATTCTAATAGAAAGTTAGATAAATGCTAGGCATGTTCTAAATTTACACACACAATCACATACCCTCTCACGTACGCACACACAAACTCTCACACACACTCCCATGAAGTATTATCCCACTCAATAATTACAAAAACTGCAATAACTCTGTCATGAGAAGCTCCGCAATGTTTTAATTTTATACAACAAAACATCAATCTAACATATATTGTTAGAGAAACCTAAAAAAGAATATTTTTTCTTGGTTTGCGTTTATGCTCCTAACTTTTTGAGATTATTCATCCCATTAGAAAGTTTCTACCTATGTTTCAATATGACAAAATCAAGGGAAATATATTGCACATCAACTCAGTATCCATGTTTGTGATGTTGCTCATTCACTAACATTGTTTACAAACTCATTCTTTAGAATTTCTTAAACTTTCCATACTTATTCAACAGATATTTTAAAAAATTCTAGTAAGAAAGCCCTACTCATTTCTTTGTGTGTGTTTTTTTAAGCAGTATTTTTTCTTATTTTCTATATTGTTAGTTTGTGCAACCCAAATACATATGACTTAAAGGATTTTGTATCGATTTATCAAAACTTTTGCGGTAATTTATTATGTGTAGAGAAAAAGTCTAGATACCAAATGAATGTTATTGCTAAGACTGTGGAGTAGGAACTACTTCACTTAGCATTTTATTTTCAGCTTTCTTGCCTGTGTGGATTTCCTTTTTTACAACAGGCTGCAGAATGTGAGCTGGCGTTATTAGATGACTATGAAGGAGTCACTGTGGAAGCAATCTTACATGCCTGTTTCCAGATTCTCTTCTTACGGTCAATAAGGCAGGACTTGTGCTCTCAGTCTAGAGTTTCTGTGTATAAAGAGGTAATGACTCTCAACTACTCAGCCACCATGACCACAGATTAAACTTGTCTCTGTTGGATTTTTATTGGTATCTAGTTCCTGTGCCTTTATGGGGTTGAATTTAGATGATATTCTTTTGGTTGGTAGTTTTACCTGAGTAAACACAAATTCAAGTTACAGTGAGGAGTAGGAACTTTATGCCTTCATCCTCAAAGAGAACTCTTACATGGGAACTTTATTCTTTTTGTCGCAGTCGTCCCTGAGATTCATTTTTGATTTATTAAATGTTTATCAAGATATGTTTAAAATTCCACCATGTATTCCTTTTGGCCAGAAGAAAAAATATTTATAAGTAATGTTATTCCTCCTTTTGAAAAAATGAATAACCACCACAAATGATCTCTATCATTCTTGATATCATCCTAAATTGAAGTCAAAGATGAAATCATATATACGCACACAGAGAAAAAAATAATGAAACTCCAACAATAAGCATGTGTAGTCATTGCATATACTTTAAATTTTTCTGGGTGATATACTTCAATAGTAGATTTCCTACTTCAAGAAAACATTCAATACTAATCAATATTTGTGATTTGCTCCCTAGTTATTATTGGAAAAGGCCACTGCTTTTTACACATATTATAAAACATTTGATCATTATTGAATGTGTCATTATGTTAATTATACTAAAAACTCATAATTAATTATACACAAATCAAGCTAAATTTTTATTTTGTATCCATTAAACTTGGTTTAAATATATTCACCTGAAACTTGTATTTTGTATAATTTAGTTAGT